AAATTAAATATTTCAAAATAATATTCCAAAATTAAAATTAAATTGTGAATCCAACTAAGAGGTCAGAATGTAGTGTATCATGTGTATGATTCTGTGATCAATTCAGAGTACTTATACAGTATTTGATTAGGTTTATATTCACAAAATTATCAACTAAGAAAAAGTTTTCATCATGGTAAAGAATTACTAAGAATAAAATATAACAAAAATACTGGAATGGCAAATATATGACCAGCACTTCTAACAGTTTGGGGATAGGAGATTGCACAAAGTTATAATATGTGGTGGACATGGACAGTGTTCATGATGCTTTCTGGTGGCCAGATGTCAATTGTGGGACTGAGCTACTGCTATTTCCTTGATATTCACCCTGTTGACCTGGACAGAATCATGATCCATAGGGTGCAAGAGAAGTCTATTTGTAGAGCATGCTGATGGAAATATTTTGCTGCTGTGTACAAAAGAATAATTGAAAGACTGCTGTTGTATACCTCTTTTTCTCCTCTGTTTAATCGTTTGCCTTATTTGGTGGGATCTTTCCATTCTCATTCATGGAGTTGTGGCCATTTTGATCCCTCTCTAGAATATCTTTTAGTAGTCTGTGTAGGGTTGGCTTTGTTGTCATGAAATTCTTTAGTTGTTCTTTGTCATGGAAGCATTTCACTTTTCCATTAAGCTTGAAAGAGAGTTTTGCAGTGTATAACTCTCTGGGTTGGAATTTGTTTTCCTGCAAGACTTGAAGTACTTTGCTCCATGCTCTTTTTCACTTGATGGTTTGTGAAGAGAAACCTGCCATTATTCTGATGTGTTTTCCTTTAAATGTGACATTTCTTTTCTCTAGCAGCTTTTAGCATGCTGTACCTGTGCTGAATTTCTGGGATCTTGATTATTGTGTGTCTGGGTGTGGTTTTAATTGGGTTGATGTTATTTAGATTTTTATATGCTTTGGTTACCTGAATGTCAGATTGTTTCCCCATATTTAGGAAGTTTTCTGCTATTACTTCTGCCCTTATTCTTTTTATATCATTTGCATTGACTCCTTCTTTCTCATTGATGCTTACTAGTCTTACATTGTTCATCTTTGCATTGTCTTGCACATACTGAGTTATTTTTTTCTGGATCCTAGTTATTTTTAAGAGATTGTTTCTTATCTTTTCACTGTCTGCAATGTGTCTTCAAGGCCTGAAAGTCTATTTTCACTTTTTTTATGGGGGAAGGGGCAGAACTGGGGATGGAACTCAGGCCCTTGCACTTGCCAGGCAAGCACTTATTCTACTGAGCTATCTCCCTGGCTCCCTATTTTCACTTTCATTCAAACAGTTTTGCTAGCTTGTGATTGAGTATTTAATTTCCTATTTAGTACTTTGAATCTGCTTCATGCATTCTCTTTCCTATATTGCTCATTCAAGGATTCCATCATTTTTCTATTCTCCTCTATTTGGTCAGTGTTGTGTCTTCTTTAGAAGCACTTAGTAGTTCTTTCATTATAGTTATCATTTCTTTCTTTTTACTTCAGAAGTTACTTCTGATCTGATTTCCTCTATACATTTCTTCAGTTGTTTCTTTATTTCAGACACTATTATTTCAGAGATTTCCGATGTGTGATTTCCAATTTCTTCTATGATATTGCCTCCTGCATTTGTTCTGGGGGGTCTTGGGGCCTGAAAATGCATTTTGCTCCTTTTCTTTGTCTTTCTGTATAGCACTGTCTTCTGACCCTTGATGTAGAGCTTTGGTACAGTTATTACCTTAGCACAAGGTCCACATCTACCAAGTTGAAACTCATCCAGGTGGGTGTGGCTTGAGTTTAGCTCCTGTACTTCACTTCTTCCTGCTGCAGCCCTAGAAGGTGAACCAACTGTGCCACTCTGGCAAGATATTCTGCTCTTGGATCAGCTGGGTGGGTCTTGCCTCTAGCCTCTGTGCAGGGAATTCCATAGCAGGGTTCCACACTGGGCCTGTCTAATGGAGGAAGTTCCACATATATGCCTGGCCCAAGTGCTGGCTGGACTAAGGATCCAGAGGGCTCTGGACTGCCCCACTCACATGCCAAGCCTGTGCACAGGCTGCAGTGAGGCTCTGGAGGGCCCCCCAAATTTATAATATGAGTGTATTTTCTGTAGGGCTCTGGGTGGCAAATAACTTGTGCTTATCTAAAAGATCAATTCTAGTTTGTTTTTTTCCCCCCTGTGGAACTGGGGATTGAGCTCAGGCCCTTCGCTTGCCAGGGAAGTGCTTATTCTACTGAGCCATCTCCCCAGCCCCTTAATTCTAGTGCTTAATCTCCTGTCTTTGTTATGTGATGTACTGGCACCTACTTCTGGTTCTAATCAAACTTATGGTACCAAGAGCTTTTCTATCTAGCATCTAGGAAGAAGTAAATTAAAAAAACTGATATGTACTACACATGGCATATTGCACAATTTCTATTTGTTCTTAAAATACATGATTGAAGGGCCGGCCAAACAGCTCAGCAGATTAAGGTGCCTGCAAGCAGGCTTAGGGCTTGGGAGTTCAATCCCCAGGTCTGCCATGCCGGCCCTTGCAGCAGGGGCATGCTGAGCTGGCAACAGAGACTGGACATGGTGGCACGCACCTATAATCCCAGCTCATGGGAGGATGTAAGCAGGCAGATCACTACAAGTCAGATCTAGCAGTGAGACCCTGAACTCCCTGAAGACCCTTCCTAAAATAAAAAAAAAATGGATGACTTGTGCACTGCAAATAATTTCAAAATAGAGAACAATAGCAACATTTAGCAAATATGCATTTG